ATCTCTCTGCCTCATTTAATTGATTATAGGTCATCCCTTCACTTGTTATTCAGCTGTTGACACTTAACTTTCTGCAAGTGATCAAGAGTGTCAGACAATGAGTAATCATCTGGCCTGTCGACACTCCACTCACACCATTTGTATGGTCTTTTGAACTCTCCGATCATAAAGTCTGTGCCTGGGTGCTCTTTTCACTTCCCCTGAAGAAGGGACAGCGCTCCAAAAGTTTGTAATTTCAAATAAACCTGTTGGACTATAACTTGCTGTTGTGACTTTTGACTTTGTCCACCCTAGTCGAACACTAGCACCTCCACATCAATATGTGAGATCATGTTGCGTGCAAATTGGGTGCTACTTCCTTACAATATAATAAATATACTTAATCATCTGTAAAGCAATTTATAATGTCCCAAGGTCATGAAAAAAGTGTGATGTAAATGCAAGGCTTTCTTTCTAGAAACTGTTCTCTATCATACATCCAAAGTACAACCGGAGCAACATACCAAAAGGGCAGCAATTCAATCAGCGTAGACCATGCCAAATAACGTGAACCTCTAACTTTCTGTAAAATGAATGAACCAGCTCGGTCCCTGTCACCTCAAATCCAGCTTAACTTCTCTAAATGTCTTATCACTCTAATAACTGAGTTAAAGTTGTGGCTCCAAATTTCAGTACTGCATATGCAGTATATTCCTAAAGTGGGACATTTGCAATTGTAACTGAAGCTTTAAAATGATACTTAAAACAGAAGTTGAATAGTATTTCTGAGAAAGGGTCTTCAGTCATTTGGTTAACTTGGTGCATTAAACGGTTTCAAGATGAAAGAGAAAATAAATTTCAGTTCTTATAGCTTGCAAAACTGAAATGAAGTGCCTGCAGTTGGGGGCTGCAACTTTCAAAATGTTTACATGAAGACACTGGTCAATTGGTGCAAAGGTGGAGTTTATCTAACAGCACATACACACTTTACATCAATCCAGGCAAACATTTAGAGACAGAAGACTTTGTTAATGAGCTCAAGGATTAGAAACACGTGAATATGGCAGGCTACTGAAATAATAATATCTGCCTGAACATTAACTTCTCTCCTGCACACAAGCATTTCTAGTCTGCAACCTACCTCAAGTTAAATCTCATGCGTGGTTAGTTTTGAGGCCAGAACATTTAGATTAAGACCTTTTAAGGAATAGATTCTTGTTCTTCCACTTCACAATGATTCAGCAATTGTTGCAATAATGTAGTGTCAGTTTTGGCACAGTGGTCACACTCTGTCAGTAGGTTGTGGATTCAAGCCTCACACTAGATATTTAAAAAATACTTAACCTATCACTCCCAGTGCAGTACTGAGAAGTGATAGAGATGTTGTTTATATTAAAGTTGACATCAAACAAAATGATCTGTTTACCTCCTCGGGTGAACACAGACGTTCCAACAGTGCTATTTAAAGGGGCAGGGAATTCTTCTCATGTTTGGCCACTATTTATCATCAGATTACCTGGTCATCTCTTCAGTGTCGTTTACAGAAACTTAACGTGGGAAAATTAGCTGTTATGTTTCCTACATTTGAGATGACACCTCAAAAATAAATTAGTTATAAAGCACTTGAAGTCACAAAATGTGTTATACAAATTTTTATTGGGTATAAAATAAAAATGATGCCGAAGTTGTAAATGTATTAGAAACGCCACAAAGGATGGTGGTATTTAAATTTAATAAATTACCTAGATCAGATGGGATATATATGCATTTTAATAACTTTGCTCCATCTGTGCCCTGACAATAAAGTCTATTCCAGTTAATAGTTGGGCAGTTGGCCTCTTGTTTTGCACATCTCAGTGACATCTCCTTCCTTCACAATGCTTCTTAGATAAGAGAGCTGGAGAATTGCAAAAATTACACCTTCGTTCAAAAAAATCTCAAATATAAACCCAGCAGCCACATAGTTAAATGTAATTGGTAGGAAAGCCTTCAAGAATGATAATCTGGGAGAAAAGTAACAATTACAGAGTCAAACAGCACGGAAACAGACCCTTCAGTCCAACCAGTCCATGCCGAACATAATCCCAAACTAAACTAGTCCCACCTGCCTGCTTCTGGCCTATATCCCTCTAAATCTTTCCTGTTCATGTGCCTATCCAAATGTCTTTTAAACGTTGTAATTGTACCCACATCCACCACTTCCTCAGGAAGTTCATTCCACACACAAACCACCCTCTGTGTAAAAAATTTGCCTCATGTCTTTTTTATATCTGCCTCCTTTCACCTTAAAAACGTGTCCCCTAGTCTTGAAATCCCCATCCTAGGGAAAAGACAACTACCATTAACTCTATCTATACCTCCGATTATATTATAAACTTCTATCAGGTCACCTCTAAAAAGGGAAAAACAAACAAGCTACACTCGTATTACTAGCAAATCTGTTGACAAGGGTGCTGCTGTTATTGCCTGGTATACAAATATCCACCCAAAAGAGGCTGAACACTGACTCTCCAATAGTTCATTCTCCTTTGCCTGGACCACGACTCCATTAAACATCAATCCATTATTTACATGACAGTCACTACCCTCATAACCCCCTAAAATCTTTCCTCCATATCCTCCAACCTCACAGAACCAAATCCTGAACAGCCATTTCACCCTCCTTCACAAGATCCACCTATTCTAGCAGACTTGTCGTGCCAGCCTGCTCCTGCCTAATTAAACTGACTGTTTCCTAACTTGACCATATATTTTCTCCTCTTGTTCAGTATTTTCCTTCCTAAGCCCATGATTTTAAAGATACCTTCTGCTATTTTGAATTTCTAACTTCCAGGCTTTAATAGCCTCATCATCAAGGATGTCCAATGAATAAAATAAAAATGTTCATGGATGTAGGCATTGCCAGGTAGACCACCTTTTATGGCTCAGCTCTAATTCACTTGGTTGAGGTTTTCTTGATGAGGTAACAAAGGATAACTTGGTCAGTGTTGTGTGCTTGCGCTTCCAGAAAGTTATGCGATTAGGCAAATTGAAGCCCATGGATTAAATGGGACAGTTGCAACATGGATAAAGTTTATTTAGTAATGGGAAAGAGCAAAAAGCTTTTATTCCTGTCTGGAGAAGGTATACAGTGAAATTCTCCAATGCTAGGACTGCTGCTTTTCCTAATGTATGTTAATGATCTAGGCTTTGGTGTACAGGACACATTTGGCAAACGTGCAACAGACAAAACTCGTGAATGATGAGGATAGCTGTCGATTTTAAGAGTATTAAATCGCCATAGTCCTACTGGACAATGAGTCTGCTCTCTTGTTAGAGTGGTGGTTTAACCCGAGGGTTACCACACCAAGCGAGGGGAGAGGTTGAGAAGGAGAGTCTTTCATGTTAACTTCAGTTGGTACGGGAATTGAACCTATGCTATTGGCATCGTTTGCATTTCAAACCAGCTGTCCAGCCAACAAAGCTAACTGACCCCAAAGGCTAGTGGAACGGTGAATAAAATTGCTGATGAAAAAAATGCAGAGAATTGTGAAATGATATATTTTGGAAAGAAAGAGGAGGAAAGACATGCATTAAAATGATGCAACTTTAAGAAGATAGCAGTATGCACACAACTCTTTGAAAGGAGCAGGGCAGGTTGCGAAAGCAGTTAAGAGACATTTGGACATTTTAAGACAAAATGTGCAAAAGGAAGCAACTTACCATGAACATTAATAAAATGCAGTTTTAACTTCAACTGACATACTGTCTCAAAAATTATTTGGAGAAACTGGAACTCTTCTCTTTCAAGGAGCATTGAGAGGTGATTTGATAGAAGTGTTGAATATCAGGGGAATTCAGAAAGGATAGATAAAAAGAAACAAAGTCCACTAGCAACAAGGTTGAAGAGCAAAGAACACATATAAAGGCGAATAACAAAATAATGAAGAATGACAAGAGAGAGAAAAAATAATTACTGAACAAGCGATTAGGATCTAGAGTACACTGGCCAATAGCATGAAGACAGACTCAACTGTGGCTTTCAAAAAGACTGCAAGGGAGTGGGACTAGCTGATTTACTCTTGCAGACAACCAGCAAAAGGCACGAGGCCCGAATGTCCTCTTTCTACTTAACCATTCCATGATTCTAATTAGAGTGGTGAAGTAGAGTTTTCTTTAAAATAAATATGCGTATATTGTGGGTTAAAGATTTATTGTGTAAAACTAGACTAAAACTATATCCAGAAAATTCAGGCCAAACTTATGTTTGTCCCGATACGACGAACGCCAAACTACGAAACCTATTAAGGAATGCATTAAACCGAATGATAACATGAAGACTTGGTTACACAATAAGGAAGTTGATAGCTTCCTGTAATATTTTTTAAAAACTGCATTTTACTACAACTGTTCAAATTGCATAAACCGTTTCGAATTGAATAAACCTAGAATTTAAAATTATAAACCACTGAACACGTTGATTGATATTTAAAGTGGAATATGAAAATCGAATACTTGGGAGGAGTCTTTCAGAAAACATTTCAACCGCTTTAAAACTGATACCATGAACCTCAAGGTTTTTTTTTGCACAGAAACCACATAAAATTGCAGTAGAGGGATAAATTTCTAAGGCAATGTTGTGCAGCAGTATCAGTCAACGGTTGATAAAACGGAAGATATAACGATACTCGGCCAAGAGAGGACGTGACTGGGCTGAATTGTCGGATTGCAGTCCACGAATAACCCACCTTGGGATCTTTCTCATAATAATACTGCTGGGTGCGGATCCACCGCCCAACCAAGTGGTCGCGGATGGTGTGAGCCAGAGCGAAATAGTAATCCCGAGGTGTAGCGACATTTCTGTCTTTGACCAGTGTGAAATGCAAATGCCTGTTGAAGCTCTTCTTCAACTCCACCACATCCCCGAGCTCGGCGATCCCCCTCACACTTATTTGTTTCCTCCTTTCGAAGTCTGTCAGTGGAGTGGCCATAGTCTCCCTTTGGTGGGAGGAAGTTCTGGGACCGCAGTAGAAAACAGCAGAGCCAAACAGCACAACGGCTCAGTTCGTACTGAGCCTAGTCGCTGATTGCGTCTCGTCCTTCCTCCTATAGGACGTGCTCAGTACGTAGCGCATTCAGAACAGGAAGAGGGAGGGAGAGACGCTAAACACGGGAAACAATTATGTGGGACGCCACATCCAAGTACATTGCACCGCACCGAGCAGGGTTTGGGATACGAATAAATGAGCAGAGAGCGAGATTACAGATTTCCCCCTCCTCAAACAGCTCAATAGTCGACAACACTCATTCCCCACCTAAAAAAACTGCTGCAACAGATTTAATGGTAGATTGAACTCCGAACTAGACCACACACCTATACTAATACAGGTATGAGACAGTCTATACCTGTTATCAACAAAGGTTAAACAACAAAGAAACTGATTGGAGCCTTCCGCATAAACAATGAGTTAAATTGCATCTTCATAGAGATCTACAGCAGAGAAAAGGGCCATTCAGTTCATCAAGTGTGCACCAGTCAAAAACAATCACCTAATCTCAGTCTGAGTTCTGAGGAAGGGTCACCGGACCCAAAGCGTTAACTCTGTTTTCTCCTTCACAGGTGCTGCCAGACCTGCTGAGCTTTTCCAGCAACTTTGTTTTTGTACTTAATCTCAGTTCCAGCATTGGCCTATGGTCTTGTATGCCTCGTCATTAGAACTGTCCATCTAAACATTTCTCAAATGTTGGGAGTGTTTCTGTCTCTACCACCCTCACTGGCAGTGAGATCCAGATTCCCCCCAACCTCTGGGTGAAAACATTTTTCCTCACATCCCTTCTAAACCATCTGTCCCTTTCCTTAAATCTATGCCTTCTCATCATTGATCCCCACCAAGGGGAATTTTTTTTCCTGTCTACGGTCCTCATAATTTTATACATCTTAATCATGTCCCCCTTCCTCCCTTCTACTCCATGGAATCACACGACACCAGGTTATAGTCCAATAGGGTTATTTGAAAACACAAACTTTCGGAGCCTTACTCCTTTTTCAGGTGTTAGTGAGAGAGATAGTATCAGACACAGAACTTATAAGTAAAAGATCAAAGAGTCAACACTGATGAGGATGTATTAAACAAACATATGATGCTGTTGAATCTTTAATCAGTTAGAAGGTTTTAATTGATTAATATGTATATGTAAATACCCGAATTCCTTTCAAGTACTGTCTTGAGAGAACTGAAGGTTTTATCAGTGTAAAAAAGAGATTACATTTTAGGTCAGACAATGCATGTTAGGTGTGAGGCATTGTTTAGGATCTGTTTGTGTTTTTGTTTGGAGTCAAACTGGTTTTATTTCTAAAGTAGGAATTTATAAAATGCCACATTGACTGACTGTCAGGTCACTGGACCCGAAACATTAACTCTGTTTTTTCCTTCACAGATGCTGCCAGACCTGCTGAGCTTTTCCAGCAACTTTGTTTTTGTTCCTGACTTACAGCATCCTCAGGTCTTTTGGTTTTTATTGTCTATAAATAGTGTACTTTTTGAACAAAATAGAATGTATCTACAAATACAAATTCACCCCATAGATTAACATGGATGTGTGTGCATGAGGGAGTGAGTCAGTGTGAGTGCATGTGTGTGTGAGGGGGAGAGAGAGAGAGTGAGTGTTTATGTGAGGGGGAGAGAGTGTGTGTGTGTGTGTGTGTGAGGGAGGAGAGAGATTGAGTGTGTGTGCATGCTGTGGGGGGGGGGAAATTGTGAGAGTGTGTGATGGGGGGGAGAGAGAGAGTGTGTATGTGTGTGTGTGTGTTTGGGGGGACAGAGTGAGAAAGAGTGTGTGTGTGTTCAGGAGGGCAGAAAGAGAGAGGAACAGTGTCATTGTGTGCGGGGGAGAGAACCTTTGTGATCCACCCGGTTTTGGCAACATCACAATAAGTGTGCGACGCCTCCCATGATCAGTTCAATAGTGTCATATAATTATTCGATACATTTTTCCCTAATGTAAATAGACTGTTTTCCTGACTATCCCCACAATAACAATACATCTTCAATATAATAACATGACTACCGCAGTCATTAATTTTTGCTCCTGTGAGAAGTACTCACTACATAACTCATCATTAAGTTTCTCCTTGATTTGATATGGTCCAGTGGAGCTTGCTTTTAATGGTTCGACAGAGACAGGTAGTAATGTTCATGCCAATATAGACTAAAATTTCAAACTTTGGCCTTTTTAATGTGCTCTGTTTTTCATTGTGTTTTGAGCATTCTTCAGATGTGTTTTGGCCAACTTACATTCTTTAGTTAGCTTTTGTCTGAAACTCAAAGTACCGGCTAGAAACATAGCCTTGATTTATAAATTTCTCTTCAGTCAATTTAATGGTATTTGCTCCTTGTCCATACATCATTTAAAAGGACCGAATCCTCTGAATCTATTAGGTCCATTCCGGACAGCAAGCAGTAACAAGGGAATTCCTTTATCCCAATCATCAGGACATTCCCAACAATAACATTTAATCATGGTCTTTACGGTTTGATGCCATATTTTCAATGTACCTTGAAATTGTATGTGATAACCAGAAGATATAAACTGCTTTACTTCCGAACTATTAATCATTTCTTTGAATATTTGTGACATTTAATTTGAACATTGATCTATTGTATTTCTTTGGGTAATCTGAATCTTACGAAACAATTGAACTAATTTTTCTCTTACCAATTTTGCAGTAATTTTTCCCAAAGGCACTGCTTCAGGAAATCTTGTTAAAAATTCAGTTCATAGAATCCCTACAGTGTGGAAGCAGGCCATTTGACCCATTCAAGTCTACACCACCCCTCTGAAGAGCATCCCACCCAGACCCACGCCCATACTCTATCCATGTAATCAACTTAATCTACACATCCCTGGACACTACGGGGAATTTAGCATGGCCAATCCACCTAACCTGCACATTTTCAGGTTGTGGGAGGAAACTGGAGCATCTGGAGAAAACCCATGCAGACAAAGGGAGACGGTGCAAGACTGTCACCCGAGGGTGGAATTGGACCCGGGTCCCTGGCACTAAGTGGCAGCAGGGCTAACCACTGAACCACCATGCCATTGTTAAAAAATACTGTTTCTCATTATTGGTTTTAGGTAAGGGTTCTACACAATGAGAAAAACTTTGTTTTTTTTAAATGGTTCTTTAAAAGCTAGAATCAGAAATAAAGATGCAAGTTTAACTGATGGTTGCAGTTTCCCTGCTGCCTGACATGTATGACATAGATGGCAAAATTTGACCACATTTTTATGTATTCCTGTTTTAAAATTTTTTTAGCTTAGGTTTACTGAATACTTAAGAGACCCGTCAATGAAATTTTATGAACCACTTGCAAAACTTCGTTATGATATCCAAATGGGACTATCACCCAATGGACTACTGCCCATTCTTCACTGGCTGAAATCTGATGTGGTCTCTGTTTCTTCATTACTGTTTTGTCTTTCAAAAAGTAACATTTAGATATTGGTTCTGATTTAATATCTGAGTAGGCTGTTCGACAAAACTCTCTCAATTCAGGATCTCCTTATTGTGTTTCTATTGAAGAAGATGGCTAACTATATCAGCCTCATTCTCTTTGTCTTCATCCTTTTCATTTAAACTTTTGAAAACTGTATCAGAACTTGTAAATTCAGTTATCTCCTTTTTATATAACTCTTCCTCTTTCTGTCTACTTCTAAGGGCCTGAAATGTAACCACAAGAGTCAGTAAACAATCCAGAATGTTCCTGTAACATTCCAGTATCCTTTATCTCTACCGGTTGTTCCATCACTCTCAGTGATGCCAATATTTTTGAACCAGCCAGATAATTTTACAAGATAAAATTAATTTCTTTTATAGGGACTTGGCACATTACTGCAACCACAAATTCTCTGTATACTAAGTCATTCTTTCATCCAACTCTGTACAATAGGACTGCCTTGTAACTTCCATATATATTATTTCCAATTAATATTTTCTCCTATGCTAACCATTCTGGAAACCTCATTGTCTCATCACAGAGTCAAAAGCACGGAAACAGACCCTTTGGTCCAACTTGTCCATTAATGAACTCCAGCAGCCAGTATCCAATCACCAAGTCACCCTTTACTTACACGTGCATAGTTCTTGACAGTAGTTTGACTTCCTCAGAGCCAGATGTCAGAATGAACAGAACCTCTGACATTCCTGTTTATATCTGTTGGCCATGGCTCACTGATCAGACCAGGTTACCAGCCCTAGTCAGGGAACTCATATTCTATGAGGTCCACCTGGCTGACCTTGTTATAATCCCTCCCCCTCTAAGTCCAGAGACATAGGCTTGTTGTTTCTCTGGTAGCATCTCCTTGAGTATTTTTGCATTTGGTCGGGTTCGTCCAACTCAGCCTTGGATATGAGCGGCATGTACTGGACCGTAGCCCGACTCTTGTGCCTAGAGGGTCTTGGAAGAAATTCTACTTCCTCTTCAGGCAGTAAAGGCGTTGAGGCTGCAACATCAGCTGTGTCCATCTCAGACTCTAAAGTTTCTTCGACACTCAATGCAGGGGGAAAAATCACAGGTTCGAACAGATTTCTGGCTGTTCTCAGCGACCAGTTATGCTTTGCTCCTGTCCCATTTGTGAGTTTGCAGCTTTCTTGCAGTCTACCTGCTTGTTCAGGACCTTCGCACCAATCCGGACATTTTGTACGTCATGGGACCTGACCTCACATCAACCACACCTCTTAACCATGCAGGGCCATTTCTGTGGTTTCGACATCAAACTTCATTGTCTGAAGTAAACTGTCTCTCTCGCTTAGAGGAGCGTATCTTGCATTGATGTTCCTGATGTTGTTTCACTCTCCCCACCCAGGTCGGGGAAGATCAGATTTAACCTAGTGCAGAATCATCTCCCTATTAGCAACTCTGCTGGACCTATCCTTGTGGTTGCATGGTTGGGGTGGGGTGGAGGGAGGTGGGGGCGGGAGTGGGCGGCGTGTCTGATAATCAAATAGGAACCAGGACATTTTGAATCTGTAAGCTGTTTCTTTAAGCCTGTCTTCAAAGTTTGGATTGCTGCTTCTGCCAGACCATTGGATGATGGATGGTATGGAGCTGTCCTTATATGCCAAATGCCTTTTGACTTCAGGAAATAATCGCA